CAAATGTTCTAGTATGCAAATGCTTTTCAGATTTCTTACAATTTCTTTTTATTTTAGTAACTTCTAAGCAAGTTTCCCTTCTTTTAATAGGGTCAAAAATTTCTATTTAATAGCCTCACAGCACATTAAAAATTACTCTGGAATTAATTGATGTTATAGAAAATGCTCTGTGGAATTGAATACATACAAAGATGAGTGTGTATGTTTTGGTATTTTCATGTATAGGCTGCATTTTATCCAGCCTTTGGTCTTGCCATTTTTTCCCAAATTTTACTCCCAGGGAGGAAGTAAAATAACTTGAGGAACAGGAGAGGGAAAGGAAGCTAGACTAAATCTCTCTCCTCTACTATGGATGTGGGTTAGGCTGGATGATCGAATGGATAGTGAAACTGTTTTACCAATGTGGGTATTTTCCCAAAAGAAATGATTACAAGTAACAACTGGGACTTTCCATCTTAAATGGAATTTTTATAATTGGCATTTAACCATGAAGTGTCTTGCAAAAATGAGAGTGGAAAATAAGCTGACTTTTTGGCAGCGATAGGCCACAGGTTATGTTGCATTTTTAAACTGAGCAGTGCATTAATGAAGTTAAGCCGTTTAGTAGGAGATCATAGAGGGAGAAGCAGCATGGAACTGTAATGTACTCCCTCTCACATGATGATGTGAGTAGGTGGATCAGTAATTAATGTATAAGGACTTTAGCAGATACCTGAAGTATTTGGTACTAAACCTAGCTACTTGAACGTGATTTTTCTTTAAAATTTTCCTAGTCATTTTGAGTATAGGACAGGGCAATCATGCAAAAATTGTTGCTATTACTATTTATAACACTGTTTTCCTTCTTTGTAAAGCTACTGACTTCAGCACCTGTTGCACACCTTGGAAGGCCAGTCTAAACACTGTTTTGGTAGAATGCATACATGTTTTTCTTTACTTTGTATGCTATTGCTAACTGAGAAAGGAAAGTAAAGGATATGCATGCATATGCCATGATTTACAGTCAGAATGGACCTTGGACCCATTTTAAAAACAACACGAAAAACCAAAGCTGAAAGCACTGATTTGATGTACTGTTGAGTGAACGCCCTTGTTTCTTTTCCCAATGAAACAATCATTTAGGTGGGAAGAGTTCATTTTAAGTTCTGTATGAGAAATAGAAGAAAGATGCACTATCTCAGTAGGAAAGACAGTCTCCCTTTGTCATAATTATAAATGCATGAAAATAAAATTATTATAAGACTGTTTAGGTCTCGCTCTTCAGTTTTTGATTCAGAATGTCAAATGTAATTATGAAATTCAAACTTCAAGTCAGAGACTTAGGCAATCATTTAATCTGAATCCATTTCTATTTATGTGTAGAACAAAAATTGTTTTAATAGGTACTCCTGACATGTATGAATGATTAAGATAACACGAACATCAATCTTTCTGTGAATTGTTCAGTATACGTGAAAAATACATCCAGTATTAGTGCACTAGAAATTCAAAGCTGCAAAGCTTGGGTTTTTTCCCCTTATTTCATTAGAATGTGATATTTTTGTAGAGGTGATCTGTTGGGTAAGGACATTTTCACAAAAGAGGACTTCCAGCTGAAGTCAGGATCCCACGATTGATAGTTACATTGATGATAATAAGGATGAAGGTTTGAAATGAAGACTGAGGCCTCTAGACTTGTTTCATGTGACGCTCGCAATGGCTGGCTATTGATGGCTGTTGTTTTTTCCCTTTTGGTGTGGATAACAGGATTGGCTAGCGAGGTGAAGCACTTGACTTAAACAAGGCAATACTCGCCTTTATTTGCTGTTTTGTGCCTCAGTTGAGGGAGTTGTCTGTGTTTTACCTCAGGCCTGGTTCTCTTGGTGAAGTTAGAGCAGAATGGGTGTGGGCCTCCTCGAAGTGGTGCCAAGGAGTTGGTACCTCAACTTAGAATGTGCCTTTTATTACTGCTTAATAAGATCAGCCCAATAAAGATGATGGGCAATTCAGTTTACTGTCGTTAGCTGAACCAGCACACGGTTCGGCTCCATCGGTGTAGCAGCTGTCACGCTCCCTTGCCCACTCAGGCCGCAAAAGGGGTTGTTCGCACCCTCCGCTTTCCCTGGGGGTCCAGTCTGTGTTTGCCAGAGCACGCAGCGATGACCCCAAACTTCCTTGGCTAAGCAAGAGGGCACCAGCTACGTAATGAGCGGCTATTTAATGGTGGCAGGTTACAGCCTGCAGAGAGAGATTAGTAAGAGGAGTAGATTGCTTATTTATCCTTTGCCAGAAGATAAAGGAATCAGCTGTTTTTGCCCAAAGAGACTAACCTACCTCTTCCCTGCACAGCTTTACACGGCTGCGAGGAAGATGAGTGTGGGGTCAGTAGTTACTATTACAAGGGGATGGCAAGAGGAAGAGAAAGTTCTTCTCCACAGTACTCCTTCCTCACTCCTAGCCTGGTGCCAGCCCTTCCCATCTTGCAGGCTGCTTTGGTCCCAGAGGGAAGAGTAGAAGAAGTTGTTCAGATGGTGTGGGATGGAGTGGGGGGAGAGAGAGAGAGAGAGGGAGACTGATGGTGAGCTCTGAGGTTGCGGGTGACCCATACCACAGCAGAGGGGAGGAGGAGAGGAAGGCCCTCTCCCGGGGAAGGATTCTGGGGGAGGACCTCATCCCTCCACCACCACCACCATTGCTGATCCTTCCTTGCACAGCCCAGCAGCCCTCCATCCTCTTCCTTCCCGGCCTCCTCCCACAGCCACCCCAACCATCCTTGTTGGGTCCAGCCCCTTGGATCTCCCCAGTCCCCATGACCTTCCTTGAGCACTTGGTCCTGCTATTGCAGGGTTGAATCTCCACATCAGATTATAAGACTAACGTATGGTAAAACAGGCAGACGTGCTGGTCTCAGCCACCGTTCTGGCCAGGCAGAGGTCCCCTGGGTGCCTCTGATGCAGGAGGCACCCGAGAGGTTTTCTTTCCCTCATCACTGTTCACATCTGGCCAGAAAACGTAGGAGATGGCTCTCCAGGGACCCTGGGGCAGAGGGCTGCTCCTCCAGGAACCACAGTAGCCCAGGCAGGTGGCACAATTCAGGGCTGGGGGTGGAAATAATTACAAGTTTTTGGTTGTAAAAGCTTTGTGTGGGGCAGCCTCCCAAGCTGCTGAAACCCTGGCCGTAGGTCACACCTTCTCCTTCAGATTGTCCCGAGCTTGGAGAAGGGTGAAGATGCTTGTCCAAATAAGAGGGCAGGGAGTGCCCTGCCTGACCTTGATCAAGTTAAGCATTGCTGGTAAGATATTAGGGATGAATAAAATCTCTGTCCAAGGGGATAACAGCGCTTGTGGAGTTTTATGGTCCAACCTGGGAGTAAGTGAGGGGAAAAAAAAAAAAGAAAAAACTACTATGATGTAGCTCATACTGCAGCGTGATATGTCGTTTACATTGCAGTGGAATAAGATGGTGTAGTCAAAGGTCTGAAGGGTTTATAGTTTGATATAGAGCATTAAACTTGCTGTAAATCTTGGTATAAAAATAACTGCAGGAAGAAGTGCATGCTGTAAATTAATTGTGAAAATACACATTCAGAGAAAAACTGTTTTTCATACTAGCCAGACCATGCATAGTTTCTAATGCAATGAGTCCTTTCCAGTGTTTGTGTTGAACAAAAGTAATTTAAAAATTCCCAGTGGAAATAGAGATTTATTTTTTTTTTAATGCCTTGCATAATAACTGACCGATTGTGGTGATGAATTATAGGCGGGTTTGTCACTAGGAGTCTGCAACAACAAGATAAGGCAACAATCTTCTATTTCTATGCTTGTGGGCACATGTTTTGGATTTTGATTTTTTTTTAATGTTTTTTTAATGACTCATGCAAAGGAAGAACTGATGATGTTAGGGTCTTTTTACCAATGGCAGGATCCTATTCTGTAATTTTTAGTGTTTTCTCAAGTAAGACTCTCCTCCATTCAGGCATGACTCAAATGTAATTTAATAGCGAAGATATTGATCAGTGCTCTAAATCAATCTGTAGTAATTTTCATGCCCAAGAGACTAGATGATTTCTTTTCTGGTATAGGTTTGAAAATAAGTTTTCTTACTGAGCTGTAATCAGGAACGTGTGTCTGGAACTAAATCAGTTTTTAATGTGTTTGGGGTTTTTTTTAGTTTGTTTATTTGCTTTTTATTTGAGTATTCATGTTTAGTAGCTTTCTGCCATCAACTGTATGTAGTGGGGCAGTAGAAATGGTGATGTTTTACCATAATTAAACTAATTCAGCAAAAGGCTAACAATCAGCATAAAAATATACCTATGGAAAACAGCAATGCCAGTACAGGATTTCTTTGTTGCTAGTATAGGTAAGATAATTTGCAACCAGAAAAAGCAGCATTATCCAGAACAGTAGCAAAGACAAAAGTTCATTGCTCTGAACCTCCAACACATAGCTAATTCATAACAGCACTGTCATGTGAAGAAACTACATATAGTGGCAGCATATGAAACATAGAGATGAAAAATATACATAAGCTTGCAGCAATCTGTATATAATCAGATTGGGTCCATGAACTGCTGACTTGGCTGGCAGGAGCTTTGGTAGGGTTTTTTCTTCTTCCATCTACTGTTTTTGTTTCTGCATCTCTTGTCATTTTGGAGATACTGAAAACTGTGAGGTTGAGTAGTTCACTATCCAAAGGACTAGGGAGATAGTATGTTACGTGTTTTCTGCAGAAATCTGGTGAAGGTGGTTGAAACACTTTTTTGCCAAGTAAATTTCCATGTACTGGATGAAAATTACTTTTCATTCCCAAAGCAAGATGATATTATTTTTCTGCTACATGTCCTAATATCCCAAGCTTTGCAATCAATCTTTTTACTCTTTATTTTGAACTGTGCAAATGGTGTCCAGGGCTTGTGACCATGACGGTGGAACGATGACCTAAGGGTTTAAGCAATAGCTTTGGTTGGCCAAGTTTGTTAATGTGCATGTCTCTGGCTTTTTTTGTTTTCCCCATACAGACAGCTACGGATAGTGACAGGAGAATGGTTTTTTGAAGAGAGAGCGAAGCGCTTCAAACAATCAAATCTTGGAACTGATGTTGTCAGACAGTCTATTCTACGCAAATTCCCAGGTAGGGACCACAAGAGAGAGATTTGCTTGTGCTTAATACGTTCAAACCTTGTTTCCAGAGCATTTGACTTGTATTTTATTCTTCGCTGTTGAAGTTGTAAGTATAATCAGTATTTTAATCTTAATTTCATATTTGGCTATTACTATGCACTGATTTATGAATGATTAATATGTAGGAAAGGTTAGGTATGGATGAATGAAGAAGTTTCTCTGTGGAGATAGAGAGCTGCTTAAAATCGCACTGTCCAAACGGGTGGCAGTATTACTCGGCCGCAAAGCCAGCAGCAGAGACTCTAGAAGTTCATTCTCAGCTCCTGCCAGGAAACTTGGCTGTATGCAGAGATCTAAACCCAGCCTTTTTTTTCACTTTGGCTCTCTTATTTGTGATGGTGGTGTGTAAAAAGTACTCCATTTTTCTTTTTCAACTCTGAAAAAGAAAGGTAAATGTTAACTGCTGTGCTGCATGCTGGAGCATGGGCTACATCCAGACTACTGGGTGTACTTCTCAGTTCTTACTTGACTTTCCGTTTGCCCAGGTATCTCCAATAAATTGCACCTGCGCTTTTTAGGTAAACAGCCTGGCTGTCCTGACCAAGCGCAGCAAGTGTACCACGTCTGTGAGCTGCTGCGGTACCTTGCGTGGTACCACAGGACCACCGGTTTAAGAAACGGGAGTTTTTCCTGAATGCTGATGCTTCTGTCTTCACTGAACAGTTACTTCACTCTGCACACAGAAGCTGTTATTTGGGTAGTCTGTTTTCAGATGCAGCATTTATTGCTTTCAGTAGGAGTGTGATGGGTATGAGTAGTTTGTAGGGAGCAGGACTGGTTTACTGCCATTGTAAAAATGCCTGGTGCAAGTATACTGCTTGGCAAAACGCTGATCTTGCCAGTATCGCTGTGCTTCAGAAGCTGTCAAACTGGCAAGTATCTTTGGGTTTTGATATTATGCAGCCTGTCAAATCGGGTGTTTTGTGATTTGTTACTTTGTTATTTGATAGATATATTAAAACATATTTAAGTCGTTGTTCCCACACCTTGCTCCTAGTTGAACACACATTTTAATTAGGATAACATTCTTTCATTTAACAGAGAAAATACTGTACACTGCAAAATTATATTTCAGATCCTTTGGTTATTAAAAGTTGTCAGTGATAAATTCAGAAGCGTAGTTGAAGACGAGCTGATAATGAGAAACATTTCAAGCTACTTCAAGTTTTATTTTCTTTTATTAAAAGGAAAAGCCAAAGAAACCCCAAGTTTTTTTCATGATATTTTATCATATGGTTTTATTTAATATTGAAAAATGGAAAAATCTGGTTTTTGTAGATTGTTTGACATGTCCTGCCTTTTTTGTGCAAACATTCCCTTTTTTTTTTTTCTTTTCCCATCCACTAAAGAGACGGTTTCCAGCAAGGATGAAGGAAGAACTTTTAAAGATCAACCCCCAGAGAATGAAGAGAAAAGGCCAGATGTATCAGTCTCTTCCACAAATGGGCATAAATCAGTCTTCAGCGGACCTAGAAAGATAGGGTAAAGCCTTTTCTTTTGGAAACTGATAAATCTGAAAACAGCTGTACATGGTTGGACAGATTTTCTTTTGAGTTTCTCTAGTGTTCCACATCAGCCTCAAACTTCCTAGGGTTAGAAACAGCCTTCCTTTAAAAGTGTACTTACTATAATTAGGCTGCTGTTTCCTAGGAAATGCAGCAGTAATTACTCTTCAGCTACAAAGGTAGCAGAAAAAAGGCAGTTTTACTCCTGGATTTCTCTTGTTTATACTCAGAAGTAACAGAGTGTCCCTAAAGGCAGGTTTGCTGAAGAAGCAAATGCAAAAAAATAGTATTTGGAGGGCCTGTTTTTTATGTATACTGGTCAGTTCTGCTCACAAGTCAAGTTTTCCTTTAGCTTCCAGCTGTGCAAATGCAGTCTAACCGTCAAGCAGTGCCCCTTTTTTGTGTGAATGACAGTAAATAAACAGCTATGTTGCTGGTCATCTTGCAGTCTCAGTGATGTGTGTAAGCCCAATTTGGCTATGGCCTTAGAGGAGCGCTTGCTTACTCTCAGGGGGACATGGACAGATGCATTGAGTATATGGTTGCACAAGTGGTGTCTGGATGTAACTTGAGGTTTTTGGGTGAATGGGAGCTCATGGCTGGAGCTCCACAGGCTGCTAGTTGGAAAACTTTGTTTCTGTTGGAAGAAAACACATTTTATTATGGATCCTAAATATAGGGTAGGTAGATAGCTTTCTACAGCTTTTTTACTTCTGAAAAGAGCTGAGTATGGAATTACTTGTTTCAGTGACTCCAGAAATTAACACGAGTGATTTATCTGTCCATAATATTGGGAAAAAGAACATCAGTATGCATCTGGCTTCTCAAATTAAGGTGAAGAAAGAACCAGCTTAGGGAATCTACTATAATGGGACCTAGATGTTGCTCTAAATCATGCTAATTGGTAGCTATAGTAAGAGTGCATTAAAATTTACTCTTCTAATCCTCTTTTCATTTAAATCCTTTGTGCAAACCTATTAGTCATATTCCCCAATGAGAAACCATTCTTTTTTGTAATTGCCTGTTGTTTATTTTAGTGGTGTTCAGCCTTTTTCAGTTTGTGGCCTGAAATGTTTTCTGGTGGTGACATTCCCCATAAAGGAAATTTAATCCTGCAAGAATTAGGCTTGCTTTTTCTAGTATATTTTGTGGCCTCTCTTAGAAGTAGTCCATTATTCCTCCTCTTCCTTGCTCCTTCTTCCTCCCTCAGGTTCCACATTCATGTATCTCATGAGTTGGATTTCTTTTAGCAAAGCCGTTTTGGGGCCAACTGCTACTGACACTTAGTGTCATGGGATAACTTAACAGTCTATTGTTGTTTGTAAGTCTATGAAGAATACTATTATTTTTCAAAACCTTATTTCATTTTTTTCATTTCTGTCTTATTAGGCCACATGTTGCAGGGTAAGGGGGTGATGTTATGTTTTCAGAAAATAGAGTGTTTGGAGCACTGATGCATATAATTGTAGAAATTGCAAAGAAATATTTAAGAGAAAATACATATAGTGTAATTTGCTAGGGGAAAATACACATACTTAGTCAAAATGCTTTTTTGTGTATGAACTGTAAAAAAATAAAATAGAGGAATTTTCACAAAAGGCACTTCTGGTTCAAAGCTTGAAGTGGCCATGTTGAGTAGGAGGGATGTTTTAATGTTTTGTGTCTTAAAAAACAGTTTCTAGCAAATATGATGGGGGTTTTTTGTCCATAGGAGTCAGTTTGATAACCAGATTTGGTGCTCTATTGACCCTTATATCCGGAGTTGTCCATGGGTCAGACACATGAAATTTATAGAATGCGCACATCACTATTTCAGTCAGGTTGCTGTTTCCTGGGAAAATAACTTACAACTTTTAAAATCTTTTATTCTGTGTTTTCATCAGGAGGGTAATTAGGGCGGTTACCAAAGGAGAACTTAAAAATGCAAAAGACGAAGGTGAAAGGAACGCAGGCTCAGAACCTGAAACCCAAAGTCTGCGCAATGGCAAGTCAACGCCTTGCTCTGAGAGGTGAGCAGCAGAAATCTGGTACAGCTCATGCCAGGCTTGACCTACGTGTGTGTGCCAGTCCTCTGTGTTGCATTGTGTCTTTGAGTGCTCAGCTTTAATACTATGTGAGAAGCACAGCTTATTTAAAAAAAAAAAGAAAGAGAAAACCTAAAAATTATCTCCACCCATCTTCCTTTTCTCTCCTTGTGTTTGGCTGGTGATTGCTGTCACTATGTTGTTTTTTGTTTTCTGGCTTTTAATTGATGAGCTGTGTTCATGTTACAGACCTGAGGTGCTTTGTTCCAAAGTTTTTCTCCAGTAATGACATGTTAATTGATTATAATTTATATTTTCTTCTTCAGAGGCTCTGTTTGACCTTCTCTCTCCATGATTATTGTCCCAGTTATTTCTGATAGAATTCCATTTATCATTCTTCTGGCTTAAGAGATCTCTGTTATTGCCTCTGATAGCACTGGAAAATTCCAGATGCAACATTGCTCTCATGTCCCACCTCCAAAATGAAGACAAAAAATAGCTCACTATTTTCTTGTTCATTTGGATAGTTTGTACCGGATGTAGACCCACATTATTTTCTCAGGTGCACACACGTAGAAATTTTGCACTCTGGATCAAAAAATAATAATAATTTTCTGTAAGATCCCATAGAAATTTCTAGCTCTAAAACAGTGTTTCTGGGAGACTGTGTAGTTCCTGATGTACAGGAACACAGGATATCAGGTAAAAGGAACATCACGAAGTTTAATTCACCCACAGATGAGCCTTCTTGTTTAAGCAAGAACTTGCTTCCCTTTGTTACCTATAATTCAAATACCCAATTGCTGGATATTCTGCAACATGTATAAAGTTGACGGTGACAATCTTCTTGAAAGTTGATAATTTGATCCCCTCCCCACTGGGTGCTGCAGCATGTACTAGCCAAATCAGCTTTAAAGCTAGTTTTCTTGTTTAATCCATACACAGTTCACAAAAGTTTTTTTCATTAAGCTAATTAGGCCTTTTGTATCTAACCAGATTCATACCTGACTTTGATGAGACCAGAAGTAGTATTTTTGCTCATTTTCTGGGTTATGACGAGTCTGGGTAGAGACGAGTGAAGGATCTAAGAGACAAAAGCTCAGGAATCTGGTGTCTGCGCTGCTTAACACTAAGGTTATGCAATATTAAGTAACTTTCTCTAAGAGTTTAGCAGAATAAGGACAAAGGAATGCTTGTGAGAGATCTGTGCAGCTGTTTTGATGGCCAAACTGCAAGAAAGTTGTCATGCAGTTAACCATAAATGAAGCAAAATAATTTTGTTTGGGGTGGTAGAATTCAGCACCCAACAAGCTCTGTGTACAGACTTAGAAGGATAAACAGAGTGAAGTAGTCTATAAAAATAGCCTTTATGTTTGATTGCCTTGCTTGACTTTCACGTAAAGCATCAATTTCTAGCTTTTGCCCGGAGCCAGGGTGAGGGATTTATTAAATTAGGCATATTGAGTCATTATGGCAACTTCCTTCTCTACCTGTCATCTCATCTCACCCGGCCAAATCAGTGTCCTGTGTCAAAGTACATAGTTAACCCCGCTTTGTTGCCAGGAGATGCTTTTGGGGGGGGGGCTGAATTATTTTACTGTCCATGGAAGATATGGCACTTCCTAAATATTAGTTTGTGGAGGGATTGAGGAGCAGCTTATATTTCTTAGTAGAGGGATGAAAATTCCTGGCTTGTACATGCATGGTTAAATATTTAATTAGATATCTAGGGATGCTTGCTTTAGTTCATTTATTGCTAATTTAGAGAACTGAGTAGTAATTATTAAAAATAACAGCAAAGCTTCCCAGGCTACCCTCCATAACTGTTTTGAGTTTCAAATTAAAATAATATAACAACATCTTGTGACACTGTAGCTGTCCTAGATTTTCCTGCCTATTTCTGATTTTTGTAATTGCCACCATCTTTTTAGCTGCATTGCCAAAATTGGTAATATTTCACCTACCAGCAGGGAAACTGAGAATTTTTATTCTTTCTAAACAATACTGTTTAAGAGAAGATGTACTGAGCTGGGAACAGGGAGTCCCAGGCCATGATTTCATCTCTTCAACTCGTTTATTTCTGCTCCAGCAAAATGTTTACTGATTTTGCAGCTGAATTAACCAGGAGGCTGCATCAGGATACTTCTAGGAGAAATAGGATAGGAATTTCAGGTTCATCTACACAGGCACACTACCCCAATGTACTGAGGTCTTGTCTACTACGTGGAAATGCCTGGCATAGTCACCTTATAACAACATTTTTCTTTCGTTGTCTACTTAATATGTGTATAAAATGTGTTGACCCTCTCTCTAATAGCAGATTGAAATAAGGGCAAAGTACAGGAGAGGTCTGTTTAGCAGGTTGGATGTGCAAGTGCTCAGTCTGACTGATGACTCCTGCAGAACCCCTTGTAACATGTTTTCAGATCTTTTATGCCAGCCCACTATTCCTTCTGAACACTTCTCTTCATTTACATTAGTTTACACAGTGAGGAAAAAAAAATCTGCAACAACAATTTTTGTAACAGAAAGTCAGAACAATCCATCAAAGTGGTGTGTCATGCAATAAAACTCAGGTTTTCAACATTTTGGCTACTTCCCATACATGGGCAGATTTGGAAATTAAGGTGTGTGCATTGAAGTCCAACAGTTTTAATAAAATACAGATGACAGCCAGTACCCTTGATTTTTCTGACTTTGCAGCACCAAAGACACATCTCTGTGTAAACAGATAGGGCTAAAATTCAACCAAAGCACATTTAGTAGGATTTGTTGATCACTTGCTTATCAAATTAAAAAGTAGTGGTGCATGTATGTGAAGTACACAGGCGTAAGAGCGTGTTTATTATGCATTATCTACTGTTGTCAGTATATGAAATTGGATAGTAATTGTTAAAAAGGTTACCATATGCTCACTAAAAGACAAAAACATGGTTGCACAACATTTGTAGACAGTCTTGTTTGGGGTTTTCCTTTGTGTTCCTTGTTTTCAATAGCTCCACCAGTGTGGACTCAGAGCCTGTGCTCACTTAATGTAGCAGTGTCGTGGTTTACCCCCAGCCAGCAACTAAGCACCACGCAGCCACTCACTCACTCCCCCCCCATCCAGTGGGATGGGGGAGAAAATCAGGAAAAGAAGTAAAACTCGTGGGTTGAGATAAGAACGGTTTAGTAGAACAGAAAAGAAGAGACTAATAATGATAATGATAACACTAATAAAATGACAACAGTAGTAATAAAAGGATCGGAATGTACAAACCATGTGCAGGGCAATTGCTCACCACCCGCCGACCGACACCCAGCCAGTCCCCGAGCGGCGAATCCCTGCCCCCCCCTTCCCAGTTCCTAAACTAGATGGGACGTCACATGGTATGGAATACACCGTTGGCCAGTTTGGGTCAGGTGCCCTGGCTGGGCATGAGAAGCTGAAAAATCCTTGACTCTAGTCTAAACACTACTGAGCAACAACTGAAAACATCAGTGTTATCAACATTCTTCACATACTGAACTCAAAACATAGCACTGTACCAGCTACTAGGAAGACAGTTAACTACATCCCAGCTGAAACCAGGACAAGCAGTGAGACAGGAGCTGTTGTGTTCCAGAGTATTTTTTTCTCAGTTCAGTGGTAGTTCTAATCAAAATTTCCATTGTGGTAAAGAAGATTTTTACTGCAGTTACTCTAAACATGATATGACAGCCTAAACCAAGTGAAGGTGAAATTCAGCTGTTATCCAGCACAATGAAGATGCCTGCAAATCTGAAATATTTATTAAGCGAGCCTCTTTTGTCTGAAAATATACTGTAAGTTCCAAAAATTTTCTCCAGCAAATTTGCACTACTATTGTCCTCTGACACTGTATTTGCCATATGAAAAGGGTGTAATTCCTGCATCAATTCCTATTTACCACTAATTTTTATTATAGTAGTAAGTAGGAATGTGTGCAGAACTGTTACTGTCCTGCAAGACTCTTTGAGACTTCTCTGAGTTGTGAAGAAAAATGAAAAAGTTTGAACTGATGTTTGTGGATAAAGAAGAGTAGATCAGCCAAGACCTTGTATTTTTACTGCAGAACAAATTTCAAATGAAAATAAAACTTCAATTGAAAATGTGTTGAAATACATTTTAAATTAATTTTCATTGTTTCAAAAGGTCAAAAAAGTGCAACAGCTTACCCTTTCTAACCCTCAGTGTTCACATGGACTAATCAGTATTTTCTAATAGAAAATGTCCCATGGAAAAATTTCTGCCTGTTGTGGTATTAGCAACTGAATTCTGGTATGCTGATGACAGACGCTTTTTTTGTCACTTTTAGTAACACGAAACCTGGCAAAAAGACTTGCCCAGCTTTCTTAGCTTTCCAAGTTTGGGTCAAGAGTCATTATTGCAATATAAATAGGGCAGTGAGCAAGTTGTTGTTTTTCTGGAGAGGACCGAGAGCAGATAGCCAAGGATTTTAGACTTTCTGGAGACAGTGCTGGCATTCACATTGGCTGCAGAAGTGGCCAGAACTACCGTAGTTTTCCTTTAAACCAAGGAGCAGCCTGGTAGGAAGTGTTACACGAGTCGTCGCACCTACTGTTGAGATGCGAATGCAAAATGAACATGGATGAATGCAGCTTCTGCAGCCTGGACAAGAGCCGCCCATTGGGGCTATCTGCAGTTCTGGTAGAAATGCTGAAAATGCTTGTATGTAAAAAGTAATTGTAATTCACCCTTGCCCGTGTTTTTCTTTCCAGGTGACCATTTCCTTGCAGCGGATCACACAACTCATCCAGGGCAATGTTATTCTAATAAACTGCTACCACGGCTGTTTTCTTGCGATGGTTTGCTGAATGGGTTGCCTTGGTTTGCTCAAAGCAATAACGCTTTAATACTCTTCTCTCCGTCCCAGAGGGAGCACGCTTTCGCTGAACAGCAGTGTTGCAGAGTCCACTGCAGGCCATCTGAAAGGGGCCGTGGGTCCTGCGAACAGAGGCAACGTTTCCATCCCTTCCCTACGGAGGTCTCCAGCACTCGGCACGCGCAGCATGACTGCAGATTATAGCCGGGTAAGTACCGTGATGTAGAGCTGACGCCAAACGAGATGACTTGGCTGGTATCTGCCCTGTTAGATCGACTTGTAGCCCAGAAAAGGCAAGCCTGACAGAGACGATTTTGGTTCTTCCCTAATTCTGCTGGGACCAGTGAAGATCTCTACTAGAACAGAATTTGCCATGCTCTGTCAGTGATGTGGTTTTCAGTTTGGCAGACGTTTTTCTTTTGTCTAAAAATTGCTCTTAATGTCCAGCATTACATAATGGGTAATAGATTCTGAACGGGGAAGCACAAGGGATGTGAGTAAGCATTTTTGGCACTTCAGGGCCTTGAGTAAGTGCTGTGAACTAAGGATGTGACTTGCAAGCATGCAGAGTCCAGCGTGCTCCCACTGACTTCTAAGGGAAACTTTGCAAGCTCAGCATTTACAGGAGATCAGGTCATGCTAATTTTAGTTTTTTTCTGGATTTGGACACTGGCCTCTGCATAAATTATGGCATAAAACAGAATGTGTGCTAGACGCTTTATCAAAACGAAATGTGGGATTCCTCTTCCCTGCTGTTAAGCCTCTTGGGATGTAGGTGGCCACGTCTGAGCTAGCTGCCTTGGCTCTTTGGTAATAAGCAGAAGGATGCGGCTCATCTAGCCAGAAGCAGATACTCTCTCCGGTCCCAGACAGCCTGCCTGCGTGTCAAGCCGTTCCTCTTGGCTGTGCACTGAGACACCCTCCCGAATTCATTTCAGTCACCCCTCTTAAGAAATCAGGGTTGGACTAGCAAGTTGTTCCGAGTTGCCAAAACTTAAGTGTACAAGGAAAGCGAAATTTATAGTCAGAGGTAATGCCTTTTACCATTAATGTTTGGAAAAACGTAGATAAGCATGTGAGATCAGAGCCCTGTTGAATGCATTGCTTTTTTTCTAACCTCAAATACTTGGTCTAATTGTTTTTCCTAATAAAAAATAAGTTAGTATATATGAAGGGCAGTTTTAGGAGCTGTAAATAAATTAATAGTTGTTTTATTTATATTCTTGTTGGCACACAGACTGACTTGATTTCAAGTGCATTAGATTTGGTTGAAAAAGGCCAATCCATTTAATTTAGTTGGAGTGATGTTGTTAGGTATTCCTTTACAGGAAGGCAAAAAGCCATAACGCTGTCAAGCATATTGGCTTTATTTAAGGGTTATACTGGCATAATTTAATTAGTTCAAGTCCATTTGGTTTTACCCTAGCTGAAATCATTATGCTGGTATAGAAACAATAGGTTTTGTCTTTTCTTTTTTTCTTTCTTTCTTTCTTTTTTTTTTAATTTCCAAGCTAAGTGAACTTTTAATGGATTTGAGTGTTTCACTTCCCTCCTCTCACTCCTGATGCATTGCTCTGATTCTTCAGTTGCAAACTCAGAATGTATGCATGAATCACATCTTTGTGCAAATTTTATGCATGATCTGTGCTAAACGAAGCAGACTAGATAGTAATCTAAATATATTCAGTAATAGACTGGATGCTAAAGGAGCTTTGGAGCTAATAGAAATTACACTTTTGTAGACTGATAGTGAATAAGCTTGATTTTTGTATTTATGGGGTGTGCATTTTTTCCTATTGGGCAGGACCCTGGCTTAGAAACTGGCATGATTATTCCAGCAAGTGAAAGTGTACCTGAAGATTTAGTAAAGAAGCACTGTAGGAAAGCATCTGGAACACCTTCTATTGCAGTTTCTAGGGTATCTTTGTCATCAGGCAAGTATTAAGTCTTTTCCTTCTTTCTGCCAGCCTTTATTATCAGAGGATTATTCCTATTCTTGTGACTCTGCTCCTTTTGTTTTTAAAGCACGTTGAAGGATGTAAGTTTCATAAATTTGTTTATATTCATTCTGAAGATCCTTCCCTCCTACTAACCAAGTTTATACCACTTCACAAGTTTTACATTTGAAGAAGTGGTAATCCTAACCCCAGTAATGTTGGCACAATGTTAGTACTAGGTAAATCACACGCTCTTAGAACTGGTACAAGATTTCATTCATAATTGCACATCGTTAAATCACTCTTTGTGTGGTCAGCTCTATAAAATACTACCTATCTCCGATCTGTATAAAATACTACTGTGCTGCTGCCATTACATTTCACACTCACTTTGCCCAGAAGCAAATTTGGGAAAAAATTCAGATACAGATTTCGCGTCATTTCATTTTCATACGTGATACGCCAAACCAGTTGATTCATCTGTAATTTACTTCATTTCATTGGAGGCTGTTAGGTAGACGAGGCTTGCACAGGGAGGTGCTGTCAGAGCCACTTTGCAGCAGCGGGTGGAGATCTTCCTTTTCCTACCTGAAACGGGAGGCAGGAGCGCGTTGCACTCTTCTGCTTCTCCCACGCACTCCGCCACCTTCTTATAAGGCTAACAGAGTGGGTCCAGATTTACAGGTTTCTCTCTGAAACACAGCAGGGCTCACTTCATTTCAGCTGAATTTAGCCCAAAGCAGAAACCTAGTGATGTATCCCACAGAGCTAATCAAAGGAGATAATGTTCTTCACCTTAGATTTTCCAACTTGAAAGCATCAGTGTTTCTTTGAGAATATTGTACAGTGCAACTCCAGGCAGAGGTGCTACAGACTGCTACTTTATGAAGTGAAAATTCTCCTGTTTCTGCTACCTTATAAAATAAAGGTTCTCCTAATAGAAAAGAACAGGCCACATGTCACCAAAGCAGATGGATGCTGAGCAAAATTGCAGGCAACCTGGGAGCGGGCCTCGGACTCCTCATTATCTCCGTGTTGGAGGATCTCAAAGGACATTAAGTTCAGGAGAGTGACTTTTCCTGTCACATCATCTATAGCCCAGGTAGAAGACGAACAGTTAAAAACTTTCCAGATTCCTACCTGCAGGATCTAAAAGTATTCTCTTCCCCCTCTTTCTTTCTCAACACAAAAGATTTATATGGAGAGGACTAAGAAAATCTTTCTCCAAGACATCTAACAAATCTTCTGCCTATTGAATGGATGTGTGGCCTGTAGGACTGAAAGAAACTTGTGCGGGTCTCGAGACTTGTTTGCTTCCTCCTCCTTTGTGCACAGGGAACACCAGTAATGGCAGAAGTACTTTCTGTGTCCATCTGCATCCCTAGTTGCTTAATTCTGAAGCAGACGCTGGGGAGAGTTTGGTGGTGGCAGATGTGACAATCACTGTGAACACTTGGACTGCAAGTTTCGCAATATTCCGGGCTGATAGGCCTACCAGAGAAAGTCAAAACCTTGATCTATAATATCATCCACAGGAGACAATTACAGTGGATAAATAGTGCAGGGAAAAAAGTATTGGCCAGAAGGCTGAACAGCATCAGAAAGCATATTTTTCCATTTATCATATTGACATTCAGTTGTCATAGAGTTCGTGACAAATACCTAAAATATTGTTTTGATGGTTTTTTTCTTAAAAAACAATTGGGTCTGAGACAACGCTTATTAAAGTGTGGAAGATGAAATGGAATGTTTTTGTACAAATTACAGCAATCTTTTTAATTGTTTTTATCTTCTAGATCGTAGCCGATCGGAGATAGATTTGAGTGAATCTTTCTCTGAAGGAAATGAAGATACTCTGAGCATAAGAAGCAAATCTGTACCTAGTGCCTTAGATCAGGAACTGGTGAGTTATAAATACATAAATGTTCACCTGGTGGAAATCCTGTTTGTTCAGACTTATGAAATCGGCACTGTATGTATATCTATGTAAAAGATAAGTAATGCAGAGCATTATTTCAGGGATATTTAATGAGTTTTTAAACAGCTTTATCTTCCAAGTATGTTGGCTATAGAATGATTCCAATGAATAGTCATGGTTACAGTTTGTTATTGATTTGCTGGTTTTTGAGTTTACAGGTGAAAGAAATCTGACCTAAAAATAAATTTCAGGCACTATATTACACATGCTCCAAAGTTCTGTTAATTCATACTTTCTTAGATTGTAATTCTGATCCTGAGAAATACTATACTTTAAAGGCTTTAATCTTTGTCTGGTTTTGATTTTTCCCTTCATATATATTTTTAGCAAATGCAGCCCCAACTTTCTGTTCTGTCACTGTTGCTCTCCTCTTCTTCCTGTTCACTGTTTTCGCCCAAACATCTCTGTGCCTTTTTCTATGTATTCTATGGGCTACGTTTCCTGAAATGATTCACAACTTCCCTCTCCTTTTATGCACATGTCCAAGATATACAAGTTGCAGATGTGCATCAATGCTATCATAGAATTTCAAAGCTTGTTAAATATGCATGGGGGGGGGGAAGAAGTTATTTAAGTAGTTCTTCATCTAATCATAGTTTGTTCTGGAGTTTCCAAATGTGTGCTTGTAGCTTAAAACCCCCCAGAACCATCTGCATTATAGTTTATGCATTTTGTCTATTGTCATAGTCCTTCCCTACCATCTGCTCTTTTCAGAAGAGCATTGGCCATGGGAGATGTCTCCCCTTCTTGTAGCATTTGATACTTGTGGCTCGGTGGAAAACGATGTGTTGGGATTCCCATCTGTTTTCTTGGATTGTAAACACTCAGAGAATTTGCCTGCAGCATTGTTTTGTTTGGGTTAATCTTTAAGGAAATTAAAAAAGCCCTTCCTGTGTGTCAGATTTCTGTGGAAGAAAAGCTTCAAAAATAAGTGGTTTATTTTTTAATTGTAGTAAAGAAAAAGGTTGTGTTCTTGATTAAGAAACTGGAAAACATTGCAGAAGAAAAGCATAAAATAAGAAAATACAAACTTTAAATATATTTATGTCAGTTTTCTGCTCTAATTGTACCAGGCACTGTAGTTATCACTTAGGGATTTCTCTGAGGCAGGTGCCAGAGATGCAAAATCCAGAGTGGTTTTCTGTTCTTTGATTTTTGTCTTCCTCTTATTCAGAGGGTTTTGGTTTTTTTCCTTTTCTTTTTCTTTCTTGCTGACTCTTGCTTCAGTCTTGCTGACTGAATGAAATTTCAGATTGCATCTCAGCAACTCTCTAGCTTCTTTGCAAATATCAGAGACCTCTCTTGTGGCATAACTTTGATTTAGTTGCTCTGGGATCTGTGAGAGTGCTGATTCTCCTTTAAACTTCATTCATAACAAGGTTCATAGATCTCTGATTCTACCCATGTCCTCACTTGCTCTGTCTTACAAAATCAATTGATTGCATTCATCAGCTTTAGCTAGTTACCGTATTTTTTTAGGGTAGTTTGACTCACAGGAGTCCTTTGGAGTCTTGTCCCATATTCATTATGGATGCAGTGTTTTGGGATAAAAGTTGTATTCCTGCTGGAGTTTAGTTTATTTGGTGCTTGTATCTTTATAAGAGGCAAAAAGAAAGATACCTGACAAGGATAACAACAGCTCCTGCAGCCTGAGACAAGTTATACCACGTTTTCTCCCAGCTAGCTGGTGGAGCTAGCTGAGGTCCTTCAGTCTCGTTCCTGGGTGATTGGAGCTGACAGCGGTGGTGCGGGAGATGCCACGTGTCAGTAGGATGCGCAGATTGCTGGAATTTATCAGGTGAAAGGGTGGGAAAACGCTTTTTAGCTGCTTTGCTCCCAGCTTTATCAGGAAACCCCGTTACACATACAGAGGGATCAGCTGGAAAATTGTATGGGTGTTTTCCTTCTCTAACTTGACGTTGCCCTTGATAGCGAAAAGGGACAACCCCCAGAAACCTGCGTACTGTGTGTAGTACGTACTTACCAAGGAGTATGGGGAACCAGTTAAATCTAGTGTTGTGTTCAAGTGGGAGCACCTTATCTAGAGAGGTGTGTGTTGAATTCCTGACCAAGTAGTGTTCATTACATGCTCAGCTGTTTTATTAGAAGTAATTGGATAATGTGCATTTTATAACCCCCGCTGAAGACTATGAGATTAATGTCCTACTAGCTCTAACTTTAATAAGATAATAACACTAACCAATGGTGTAGTTGCAGTTCTGTAACACCTCCTGAGAAACATAATCATTGTGGTGCAAAATGAATTAAGAGCATAGGTTAAATGTTAACTTTTTTTTTTTTCCCCAGTTTTAGATATCTGCTTGCAGACAAAAATTGGTAGTCAGCTAGCTGTTGGTAGGACTCTTTGTGAAGCACTGTTAACCTTTGAGTGTCTACACCTGAAAAACCCCAGTCTGAAGATGTTGCCTTACTTTTTTTGTCCTGTATTTAACTATTCAGCAATAAAAATGTAGTATTGTTTATTTTAAAGTCCACAGGTATGGACAGTGTAAATGAAAGAATTTTGCATGTGTTACCAGACTTGCTTATTCCTGTTGTATGAGCAAGAAAGAAAATTGTGTATTCTTGTGCCAAGTTTTAAACTTGAGTACATCACTTGAATTCTGAAGTTAGTGAGGAGAGTAGAAGTGAAGAGTGGGGTGGGTTTTTTGTTTTTATTTTAGGGGTTTGGGGGGCGGGGGGTACTTTTGAAGGATTCAGCTCTATCTGTTTCCCTGAAATAGTTGCTCTGCTGTGCCTGGGTGTCCATGGACTTCTTCCATAGAGTATAAATTATCTTTGACTTCTTTTTTTCTGTGGGGTAGTAACAGTGCCCTGAATAGATTCGAAACAGAAGATACTAGCAGAGGAAACTCATTGTAAGAACATGAAGCGAAGAGGAATGTTTGCTTCAGTATGTAAATTTTGGTCCCAAGTAGAGTGATGGCTCATCCTGATTTCCTTCTGCTCAATATTAAATATGCAGTTACAAGTGGAAAGTAGTAATAGAAAATTTTGCATCACTTTCAGCTGGCTTTATTTCAGTTCAGTCACTGGAACAAAGGAGAAGAGATGTAACAGCTAGTTTTATGCATTCTAATGATAAATGCTCTGCAGGTCTTTACATAAACTGTGGCAGTTCAACTCTCCAGCATCATTTCTTTGCTCTATTTTTCCTGATTATCATAGAAGTCTTTGAGACTCCTGAGTCTGAATACAGTACTTCTGTGTTTAGTTTAAGAAAGTGATAGAGACTAAGCAATAGAGTGTGAGGTAGGTTACCACGTGAGATTTTTATATCTGCAAAGCAGTTAATAAGGAAGTTGAATATTTGACTTCATTAAGACTAAAAGCAGAAACTTTCAAAATACCTGCCATAGGGTTTAAGGAAATGGTTGAAATTTCCAAGCTACACGTAATAGCATAATAGCTGTCTGTTGGATTTTTTTCCTTTAACTTTTACTTAAAGTTAACAGTCCTATTAGAACCATCAACCAGATTTTAAATTTCTTTTTAGATTTTGCTTTATTGCTATGTTTAAAAAATGAATTTTTTTTCTGTATATGAGCTAAAGATGTTACAGTTCAGTCTGACTTACTAAAACTCAAGCATATGAAGCTGTGCGATTACTGATTTTTCCTCCTTTTTTAAAAAATTATTAAAATAATATAGGAATTTAATTATTTTTAAAACATGCACATCATCTGGGTTTTTTTGTTTACCCCTCAAATATATTCAGTGTGTATGATGGCAGGACAAGTTCCTTCCCATGTGGTTTGACAATAACCTGGGGCTTTCAGCACTGCCTGTTAGAAAGTGGGTCTGTGTTAATGATCCTGTTCACAAAATTGTTGCCTGTTACCAAAGACAGCGTGAAAGGGTGCAAGTGTAATGCAAATTGTGTGCTTTTCCATTTGTGTGAGTGTGACTGCTATGAATACGGATAATTGGAAAACTGGATTGCTGGGTTGTAAAAAATATGTCCCATAAAAACATGGATCTTGGACTGTAACCAAGAAATCAATCATCTAATGGTTTCTGGCTACAAACCAGTATCAACGATCCCCTGGCCCCTGGTGTCTGACCTTAATTCACTCCTTTCTTTTGTTAAGATTTGAAAAAGTCTCGCCATGTCCTTCTAAGATTTCCAAACCTGAATTCCTGAATGCAAATAGTAGTAAGTAGAATAAGGTAATTCACATAGGATTTTTAGTAGGCATGGAAGTGGGTTTTGTTTATGTGCACAGTTGTTGGCCATGCAAAGGTATGCACCTCCAGAATAAGAGTATGTGTGTCAAGTTTTTCAGTTCTTAAGCAATTGAACCCTGATACCATAACAGCGTCTTTTCCCCTTACGCTGTGTGCCTGTGCAAAGATGTGGAAAACGTAAATCAAAATTCCTCTAGAGATCAGAATTTTGAATGCATCCTGCACCATCTTCCTAAAGTGGAAAATGTATGAAACAAAACTAAGCTACAGAAGCTGACCAAATACAGAGCAGAACACGACGACTAAAATGCCTGTTTGTCATTCAGGATTATCTGGACGAAACGGAAGAAGATATTGATGACATAGTGGCCTCTCGTTATTCAAGGAAACATGGACATTTGACAAGTGGATTATCAACAGTAAGATCTTGAGTAGAAAACATGCTTTTTCCTTCCACAAGACAACATTGTTCCTCCAAAATGGAGTTTAACTTCATACCACTTAGCAGCAGATTATCTTTCATCCTCCACTTGAGAAATATCCTTTAATATTTAGATAGTTTTTCTATTACATTTTTAATGCTGTTCAAAGCTAAAATTATGTTCTCTGAAGTGCATGGAAAGCGAAAACCATTTTGCATACTCGTCAGCAGATTTCCTCACACGCTCAGGTTACTACCAAGCTGACGTGAAGAAGGCAAACCATAGGTGTTTGCAATACGTGACTGCTCAGCTTTGCAGAGGACCACTTAATCTTAATTTACTTGAAATGAAGAGAACAAGGCTGTGGCGGCATCTTCCATCTCAAACCACTTTCTGATTGTTCACCTTCTTGGGACACAAATACTCATCTGTGTGTTTGCATGCATACACCACTTCTGTAACATCATTGTCCATCCCCCAACCCAGCTTCTCCCATTCTTCATGACATGATTGCTGTGCCATCCACATCAGAAAAGTATTTCTCTTTACAGTGAGGAAGGAGATACTTGGGGATTTTGGTTGGTGATAACTTCTCTACCTTCTGCAACAATTGTAGTATTTTTCTGTTACATCCTTTTGTTTCTTGTCATACCTACAAACTATATACTGTAAATTAGATGTCTGAGTCTTGCAGTTGTCTTAACTGCTGCAACTTAAAGTTGGTTTTAAAAGGATAGCTGCATTTTCAGCTTGTAACAGGTGCTTGAGATGCAACAAAAGTGGTATAACAAGCCTTATGCAGTTCATTATGCAGTCTTGTTCACTAGGAAAGAAAACGGATGATAAAAGTAGCCTTTAACATGCCTAGTTTATGACTACATGCTGTGTATCTCATCTTTGGGATCTGACACTTAGGATGCGGGCAACTTATACCATCTTCAGAAAAGTCGCAGAGCCCTCTCTGGCCACTCTTCCTTATGACTTGTGCCTAAGAATAGCTCTGGTCAGCATATAGAGTATCAGAAAACTGCAACAAACTCTAGGTAGAAGATGGGAGACTTGAAGAGGATGAAGAGAGATGAGGAGTCTGTATGCTAAAAGGGAAGAGAGAATTTGGTCCATGACAGTAACCAATGAACTGTCCTTTCTAGACTGCACCCCTGTTAGTCCCCATGGAAGCAGGGCCCAGGGAATGCCCACTTAAGTTCTTGATCACAAAGGGATGGAGTTGGCTGAATCCAAGTTTGGCTTACCTAGGGAGGAGAAAAGGCTGAGCAAATTGCTGTCACAGAGCATTTCCGTGTCTTAGATCTGGCCGTGTCCAGACCCTTTTCCCTTCTGATTTGTGTAGTTCATGGAAACGGACACAACAGAGCTGGGTGGCACTCCACACCAAATCAGACTTGAGCAAACGTAGCCTGTTGACACTGGTCTAATTAGACCCACTTACCTGAGGCTGACTATGACTCATTGTCTCCAATGCTTGCTCGTCCCATGGATTTTTTAGACAGAATTATTTTTCTTTCTTCTGAATGTTGATATGAAGGTTGCAGGTGCTTAAGTGTTTTCTCGTTTAGGCCACTAACGGAGGATCTGCATTTAGAGAGCCTTCCCTCTACGTGCTGTAGGCAGCATTCCGTCTGTGCATTGGGTTTTGTCCTTTGCTGTGGATTTCCCTTTGACCTTTTTCTTAAGCAGAGCGTAGCTTTTCCAGTGCTGTAGGTTTGAGATAATCTCACATCTCATTGCTCTCGTTTCTCTGTATTCACCATGACATGATTTTTAATGTCACTGCATGCTATGTTAATGGCAAAGTTGCAAATGGCAAGCTGCTTCTCCCTGCAAGAGCAGGTCAATTTTGCAGGTTCTTTTTTTATTCCCCTTGAGCATGTGTTACCAGTTACTAACATTGCCCATCTCTCTCTTGTTTTTTGCCTTGTTATAAGCCTTTGAGCCTTCTGCACTGTATGGATTTTTTTCATGTGCTTATCTGCCAAATGACTGTGTACTATTAAGTTGCATTGAAATAATGTTATTAATAAATAGTAGGCTCTAACTGCATGTTTTTTCTTTGTTTTTTCTTTCTTTTTTTGAATATGAGAATTTAAAGTACAGTATGGCAATGAGCATTTGAGGTAAAGGAAGAAATATCTCAAAGGGTAAATATACTTGAAATCTACCTTTAATATGAGTGAGCAAAAATGGAAATGGAAAGTGACATTGAACAGGAACTGTATCTCAGCATTAGGGTATTCTTTGTGTTTTCCCAAAGCTAATGCACAAACTGTGTTTTTCGTTTTCTCTGCATCCTTCGCTGATTCCTCTCCTAAATGTATTGATGTGTTGTTGTCAAGACCCGTTACATCAGTAAGACTGAATTGTTCAAGTGCCTTACTGCAGCAATAAGATACGGTGCAAAACAAATATAATTCTTAGTGAGGTACTAAAATGAGGCTCTGCACCCTCCATATGTGGTGGTTGTTTACTACTTACGAAACTGGAAAACGAGTAGATTTCTTAAGGACATTACACTTAGTGTATGTAATGTCCAGTGTAAATGCCACAGAACAGAGTCTGTGGGGAAAAAAGTCAAGTATATCAAATACTTCTAAATTTGTGTTATTTTGTGGTTTGTAAGCAATTCAGATATTGTGTTTGGATAAATTCTAGGGTCAGAGGTCATCTACTTGTTTAGGACTTTCTGTGGGTTTTTTTTCCCAAATCATTTATCCCTTGCTGCCCACTTACCTAAAGATCAAGAAAAAGAATATTTGGATTCAGCAGAGAACAACTCGTGCACCGCCTTGTGTTGATATAACCTTGTTTGTTTTCTGAAGTGGGCACACAAATTGTCACGTTCCTGTTACAGGCATAGTTTAGGCGTTTTGTAGCACATACTGGGACTGTTAAGTTCACTGGCAGTGTCCAAGGATACCCATTTTTCATGTATGCTAGAGGTGGAAATGCATAAATGGTAAAGGCTGGAATTTAGCTCGAGGCATGTTAGGAATAGGAGGAAATAGGACACGTTTGTCGTTGTGCATTGCTAATTCTCCAGTGATTTTAACCAGTCCTCTTTGTGGAATTTCAGCAATTGTACAAAGGAATAAAAGGACAAGCATTTTTCTTTTTTTTTTCTTTTTTTTTTTTTTTTAAATGAAGGATCAAGAAGGCCAGCAGAAATACAAAAAGCACCCTTTTTGCTGTTTATTATTCTGACTTGATGTATAAAATTAACTTTATGGATAATGATTGCTTGTTCTGGTTTTTATGTCTGGTGTTGTTTACCATATTGACACAGACCTGCTTATCCCTTCAGCTTTCTTTGCTGCAGGGCCCTTAGGCAAGGTGCCCAAAGTGTTGAGTTTTGCCACAGACCAATACTTTTTGTGTGGCTTTTCCCCTTGACTGTGCTCTTCCTTCCTCCCTGCAGCCAGTAAGGAAGGAGGTAGATCAAGATGTACTTTCCCTTGAGCTCGTTGGTGAGATTTCCAGATACTGCTTTGGCAAGCAGAGGGGGAAAAATGTTTCCCCCAGTATTCTATTACTGTATTTTTTTCCCAAAGAGTGACATGTTTAAACATTTGTGCGTGTTTTTATCTATTCTTACAAACTCCACAGAGAAATTGCAATTTCTTACAAAGGCACCAATCCTGCAAATACATGAATGCTTAGCTTTTGACTAGCTTAAGTGAGAATTGACTTCGTGCAGACATAAATGAGGACAAATCCAAATCTTCTGAGTTGGTGTTCTAAAAATGTAATTTGTTTATTTTGATACAGCAGATACTTCATTTCTATTTGATTACCTTGAGCCATGTGTCCTTCAATACTTGAAGTACATGGAAAACACGTAGCTTTTCTCTGATTTGGTGATACCTTTTCCTTTCTTGCTTGTTATGGCTTTGCAATACAAACTTCCTTTACCTGTCTATATAGATAAGGATTTATCACTGCACTTATTCTTTCTTATTGCAGCTATCTAATGCTCTTTTCTCTTGACCTTTTGCACTGCCTTCTTTAAAGAACTCCCCAGAAGGCTCTGACAGAAAATGGACGTATTTAAATGTGCCTGAAACAGATGGTGATACTGTGAGTTCCCCTGAATCCTCTGCTTAGCTTACTTTTAAGTTTTCTCTCTCTTTTCTCCCTTTGTGTTGAAGACTATACCTGTATGTCTTGCAAGGTTCCTATGTGTTAGGATTTAGATGGTTATATGTGTTTTTGAGCAATCTTGATCAATGACTCAAAAGAAAACGTTCATCAGATTTCTCGAATGCCTTTGGTTCTGGCAGAGTGCATATTTGGTTTTCTTTAAAAATATTTAGTGCTCTCCCAATTGTAATCTTTTGGATGAGGAAATCCTCATAGCAATACTCTGTATGGTATGAGTGAACAAAAGAAGTTGGGGTGTGATATATTACCCTGCAGTGGAAAATTTTGTGGGCTTTTTGCTAAATTTTTTTGGCTTTAGGAAAATTGCTGAAATGGTGGGTATGGAATTTTGCTCATTCTTTTAGAATTACTAATGAGAGGTGGGTGTTGCTTTAAACAAACATGCTTTTCTACCATCTCCATTATGGGAAGCATTCTTACAACTTTTTCTAATGGTTCTGTCAGCAGTTGTCTTATGAGACTTATTAAAAATTAGGTGGACAGCTGAGCCAGAAAGGTGATGTTTTTTTTTCCCCCCCCCCCCCCCCCCCGCTTGGGACTTACATGAGCTTACAATTTATGTAGCCTGTCTGCTCTTCAGTTCATGCATGGATTAAACAGTGGTAATTTAGATTTAGTCATGTTTATAAATAGGTTTGAGTCCTGTATGGAAAAACATCAACTGTCTAGACATTTAAGCTATTATTAATTATGGTTCTTATTCCCTTTTACATCAGATAGAAGCAAGTGGTATTTCTGTTCTATGATCCATCTGTTTTCATAGCAAGTCCTAACAAGTGTGACAATATTGCAAGGCTGTGTCTGTATGAAAAAAGCAGAGTCTGGAAATGAGTAATTTGTTTAAGCCTCTAAGTCCTTTTTCTCTCCCCTTCCAGACTAGCATTAACAGCATGCTGAGTGTATATAGTGAAACTGGTGACTATGGCAACGTGAAGGTCAGCGGCGAAATCCTTCTCAACATCAACTACAGCTACAAAACAGGTGCCCTCAACATCCTGGTAAAAAGTTGCAGAAACCTGGCTGTTGCAGATGAGAAGAAGCAAAGGACTGATCCGTAAGCAGAGAGAAGAATTTCCTTTTTAGGCTCTGCTAGGGGTGTCCTTCACCGTGTCACGTGCAGTGATGTAGCCTAGGGTTGTGATAGGAGCCTGAGAACTCATAGGATCCAGTTGCTACAAGCCAGTGTTTCGATGATGGTTGGGTTTGGATTCCCTGTGGGAAATGCGTTTTCAATACGTTTCTTAGGGCAGCGTGTGCTGTTCTGGGAAAACAATAAGATTACTTAAATTATCAATCTGTTTGATAGCAGTCTCCACAAAAGAGCAAAAAATATGAAGGAATAGGGAAGCTGAATTGATTTCTTACTTCTAGAATCAAAACTAAAGTATATGAGAGGACTGATGTTTTGGAGGGAGGGAGGGATAGGGAGAACTTCCATTTCACGCATCCATAGATACACTTTGCAAGGACCGTGTTTTCTGAGATTCTCATTATAGTTTTCAGTATAATGTGTAAATTCTCTCATCAGGAAGTCATAATTAGTGTCTCTAGTCATATGTGATCCTTTCGTATGCAAGGTATGAAGTTTTTCATTCTCTTGTATTTTCAGTGTATGTGTTTTCACGTGTAATCAGTCAGTAATCGTATACTACAAAAGGGAAAGTGTTAGGAAAGCTTTCTGCATTTCTAAGGGCAAGTAAATTAATTTAGCTCTGCCTTTTGTTATTCTGATCTATCTGAATAACATTGCTATATTCGTAGATAAAGACCATGCCTTTCCATGTTTCACATATTGTCTGTTACATGTACATTGTTTAGATTGCAGAAATGAATTATCTTGTATGTGTCACCAATGTAGCAATGTCAGGTCCTTGCTCAAACTGGTCATTTTTATTCCTTGCTGATAACGTACTACTTGATCTGCAGATATGTCAAAGCCTACCTTCTGCCTGATAAGTCCCGCCAAAGTAAACGCAAGACCAAAATTAAAAGTAACAGCACTAACCCAGAATTTAATGAAACGCTGAAGGTGAGAACACTGTTGCTCTCTCAGGCTGTGATGAATGTTCTGCTTGTGTTCACAGGCATTTTCTTTAAGTGTTCCAGTATGGGGATTAGAATTTGGAAGAGATACCTCAAAATGAGTGTATTTAAGCAAAAAACAGTCTAGTAATCCTATGAGTTGTAATTTCTGGCTTTCAGCATTGAGGAAGTGTTTTTGTTTGGTTCTCCCCTTTACAGGCAAAACTTCTATTAGTTTCCATAGATCTCTTTCAAAACTGCTGATGTTCTTGTCTAACCTGAGCTCAGAGATGTTAAAAGCACCTTAAAGATTTTGTAAGCCCAAAGTTTGCAACTGATGCTGAAATAGAGCTAGGTTAAAACTTCCCATCTAAGTGATTTTCGAGAGAAAATAACCTTTTGCAGTAAAATCTGAATTTCCCTGGAGGCTTTAATTTATTTTTAGAGCAGAACTGACTTTGATAAGAAAATTCCAACAGCGGCTTCTTGCCTTTCTCAAAAGCTGTGGTAAAGTTCACTTTCTGTTGCAAAAGGCGATGACAGATTACTTCCTTGAGGGCTGGTGGAGCAGAGCGCGCAGGCTCTTCCTTCCTTACCTTTTGCCCACGTCCACTACAGAGACTCAACTATTTTGAGCTCCTCATGAGCTGCTTATTCACCTCCTTGGCCCTGTGGTGCAGGCGGGAATGGCAGAGTTTCTGCCCAGTTCACCGCCTGAACTGGTCTGGCACGTGGACCACAAGGTTCCTGGTGATTGCCCTTCCTTGTCGATTGACGAGAGTTATCCCAGCTGGCCGTCGCGAGGCCAGAAACTCTTTTTAGTTTCTCCTGAATTTTTTTTTTTTTTTTTTAAATTTCTGTGATGTTTTAAATAAGTTTCTTATAATAGAGGCTAACAGATGTTCCCTGGCCAATATACTTGGCTTAACCTGGCTACAAAACCATTTTGCAGATTTACACACACTTGGTCTGGCCAGACTACTTGCCAAGGGAGAGTCTTCTTGTATAGCTTCATTTTTAAATGGTTTATAGTAAAGTTAAGACTTGCCTGAACTGAAGAAAAAAAAAGTGTTAGACTCTATTTAGCAAGGAAAATAGCACTAAAGATGTTTGCTAGTAGGGAGCTTGGTGAGGATAGGATCTAGCAGCTTGCTAAAAATGCAAATTGTAACGAAGATGGCTTACTTGAATTGTAGGTAGGCAAGCAAGAGCTGCATCTGCTCGCCTGAACTATTACTACTGTTAGAAAAGAAAAATAATTAAATGTCTGTATCTTCCCTCTTTGACTTTTATTCCATTGTTGCTAAATACGACACCTCTCACAGTGGAAATGTTGGCATCTAGGATTAAGCATTTTAGACATACTTATACATGAATAGCCTACTTGGGTGGCTCGCCAACTGACTCGACTGTTTCAGCCTTTGGAGAATATGTGTCTATGTCCAGACGTTGTTCTCGATGCAAAAAAGACGACGTCTGGGTCTCCTCAGCTAACACTAGGAGAAGGGTGAATTTCAGGGAATTAATGGGCCTTTTGCTAAAAGCAGAGTATGCGGAGCTACAATTCCAGATGTTCGTAGTTTTCTGTGTATTTTCTAGAATATGTTGTTTCTTCAGAGGAGTTTTTTAATAGCTTTCAAAACCAACAATGGTTACTAAGACTGAGACACTTGGTGAGTGCTTTGCAGATGCAGTTTTACTTGTTTTCAGAACAATTTTTCGTGAGTTACAAAGATACAATTGAAAAGGAGAGGAGGACACTATTTCTAGGAAGTAGTGTACAGCAGACTCTCTTTAGGGGTGAAAGAACTAGTGGGGTTTCTTCCTACAAACTAAACTTTGATGCTCTGCTTCATTTACATATAAGGAATTAACAAGATAGTAGTTTTAAGCATCGTAATTTTCTTTATAGTCATAAATACCCAGTAAATAATACAGAAGAAACACAATCGTTATAGTAACATTAATTACCATTGGATGCATACTGCAAAGAGAAGAGTTAGGTTTAACATTAACATTATGAGCTTTCTAGCTAGATCAATGTCATTTGCAAAGAAAACAAATCTCTCTTTCATGCTTCATTTGTTAGCTGCTGTGGGCTTCATGAAATTGAACTAGAGCTCTGAAAAGCTCCATGGAAACTATTATTTTTGCTTATTCTGAGAGTTTCTTTTTCTCTTCTTCTGTTGGTAGTATGTCATCAGTCACACACAGCTAGAAACCAGGACCCTGCAGCTTTCTGTCTGGCACTATGACAGATTTGGACACAACAGCTTCCTTGGGGAGGTGGAAATTCCATTAGATTCCTGGAACTTTGAAAATCAGGGCGATGAGTGGTTTGTGCTCCAGCCCAAGGTAAGGGTTTCCAGGGGGCAGTGAAAGTGTTGCAAAGCAAATTTAGCAAGGCTTAGTTATTTTTCCTTTGGAACGTGTTTATAAAACAGTGATTTTTTGAGTGTCTAATATGGTAATAAAAGTAACGTCTGTGTTCTTTATTCAATCAAAACATACCGGTTTTAAAGTCTTCATGAAAACTTTACACATGATTAGCTACTTAAAAACAAACAAAACCACCCCACCTTTTAAATAAACTGTAAGTTCGTCTTGTAATAAATGGCAGCGGAGAAATGGCCTTGCAAAGAAATGGATTCTTTTTAAAAAACAGCACATAAGCCAAAGGACTTTTCTACCACTCCCCCCTACTCAACCCTTAACAGTTTATTAAAGAAACAGGTCTTTTTTGTTTCATTTCAAAGCGCTTCACACTTTTCAGCTGTGACAAAATGACTTATTAATCTCTTATTCACCTTAGCCTAGGAAGGTACAAGATAAGGCTTCTGAGCAGGCAAATCAATTGGTCTGTGAAACAGGACTTGCATTCTACTTAGCTAAGGATAGGATGACTTCTGTCTCTAAGGCACCCCCTGCTTTGGCAAAGGTGTTTATTTTTGGAAGAGATTCCAAGAGCTATTGTGAGCTAGAGGATTAAAGCCTTCTGCCTTGCTTGCTCCTGCAGCAGCCAGAATCCCCAGAAATTCCAGTGGTTTAGATTGCCATTTCAGAAAGTGTATTTTTTTGCTGCAGAAAAATCCAAGGTTTTACTGCAAGTGATGTGGAGAGAGACTCAGATGACTTGTTTGCTCTGTGTTCATTATTTTTAAGGAAATAGTGTTATGTTCGGGGTTTTAGGAGGGAGTGTTTGATCTGTGCCTTTCTCTCAGTTGGGTGATGGATCTGATTGCTGTATAATTAATTTCTAGGTATAGCCCTTTGTGAGGCTTACATCTAAACTGTCACAAATTTATATTTTAGTAAATAATTTGCCAGAAGATATGTAAGGAAATTAGTTTCTTCTTTGAACACTCATACACTTTATAAGTGGCAAGAAAGATCCTTCCCAGTTTCCTAGTTCAGCTTTGTTAATAAGGGTGACCACCAGCTCTTCCTTCGTGGTCCCGATGAGATAAGACTAGAAAGAGAAAGTGCCTAATGATGGGCAAACATGTTTCAGTCAGCACTGTGTCCAGGCCAGGATTATACAGTCCTCCTTACAAGCTTGCTTCGTGTAAGTTACTTTTGTTGGGTCCGCTCTTGAAGTAGAAGAAATGTCTACTAAATCTGTGTCATAGCTCTGGCTGATGTCAGATGTTGCTCTTATTTAGTACGCACCGGTATACAGCAATAAGATACACATCTAGTATTCGTTTTGCTTGGAGTTTGTATGCAATGTTCGTCTGAAATTGGGCTTCTTATCATGCAGTAGTCTCTTTGTCATCTCATTTCAATCTTTGGGGAGAAAAAAAAAAAAAAAGACAGTCATGAAGCTCTCCTGCTCAGGAAAAAAGTAATGAGGCGCTAAGCATTTCAGCCATTCCAGCTGGAAGGTATTGTCTGATTATTTCCAAACCCATTAAAAGGATTTTTAAATGAGTTCTTTTTTTACCAAAGAAAGCAAACACAGAATTGGTCTTGTCTGCCTCCTAAGTTGTTATAAATAATGTTTCTAAACTTAAAGTGCTGCTAAGATTTTTGATCAGCAAAGATAATAAAAAAAAAATCAATTATTGTATTTTGAATTAAAAAAAAAAGCACAGGTTAATACACATGCAAAGTACACGGTGTTCTCCTGTATGATCTGCCTGATAGAGACAGGAATGGCAGTGAAACATTTCCCAGGTTTTATTACAGTGCTTTATTTGTTCTATCATGAATAATTTAGCTGCTTTAGTGAAAAGGTTGGAGACTTTAGACCTGTTTCTTCTATGAGCATTGAATGTCTGTTTTCAAGATGAGTGTGGTTAAATCAGAAAAAAGAAGAGAAAATAGTTCTGTGGTGAAAGAGGGGGCAGAGTCTAGAGGCACGTTATATGTGGGTTTGGGGGGGAGGTTGACAAATTGTTCCTGATGTAAGAACTTATACTACTTGTCCATCAGTAGAATGGAAAAAATAATCCTTGCTGCCTTTATGGGAAACTTGATCCTAAACTTGCATAGTTCAGACCATAAGGGAGCTGCCTGACTGGCAGGATTTAGATGTTGTGCAAATTATTCCACAGCCATTTACTACAGGTTTTGTTTTGTCCTCTGTTGTAGCGACTTGCATCAGACAGTGGTGGAGACAGGACCGTTTTTCTCAGTCAGCGCAGGAATGCCTGTGTTGCTGTAAAAGTGCTTCAGAGTCTCAAAAGGGCCATGTTGTTATCACTAAAATTGCTTTGTTCCCTGTCCCATCCTTGTGTACAGACTTAGCCCCATTAAACACAGTTAGTGCCTTGGACTGGAGGCTACGATAGGAAGGCAGTGCTGACTGTGCATATCACCGTATGTATCTCTGGTGGGGTTTTTTTGGTTCTTTTTTCTCTTGATAATAGAATTTTGACCTTCCTGGGGAGTCAGGAAACAAGCTGAAGGCGTTTCAGAGAAATACTGTCACTGATCAGACATTTGTCTATAAGCAGTTCTTTAGAGGCTCGTGTGGTACCTTGGTGTGTGTGTCTCGGCCCTCGAGGATCCTTTCTCTTTATACATGTGCTTTGTCCTTGTTGAGAGATCAGGAAGATTTGTTGATTTGTACCCAAACCTAAGCACAGAACGGAAATGTGAGAATCTGAATAGTCCCACCTCCATTAGTAAATATCACTGAGCAAGGTTAGCATATGCCAGAGTTTTTCATAGACCTGATCTTTAATATAAACATACAAGACTTCTGTTTTCACTGCACTTTATTTTTCTAGAAGTCAGTTTGAACTGGCATAATGTGTTCTCTCTGTGTTGCATCTATTGTTTTTAAAATGTAGTTTCCAACTTCTTACAATGCGAATGGAAGTTCAGCGCCTGTCAGTGAAGGCCTAATGTTCTTTTAACAAGGATGCTCTGAAGAGCACTGAATGCATTCTTTCTGGGCAAGATTCAAACATTTATAAAACAAAAAGGTGCAGAAATAGTAGTTGTGTAGAAAAGGGACAGGACACTGGGAATAACAGTTTTCAAGGTTTTCTATTTCAGAGCTGGACCCCGCTCTCCTCCCTTGCCTTCGTTCCCCACGCCTCCATTCCAAGAGTGACTCAGGAGTGACTCCTCTAAAGTACATGAAACCACTTACGGTTTAAAATCCTGATTGGGGGAAATAAGGGCTGAGCGTCAGCTTAAATTAGCTACAGTTTATATGTGCAGAAATAAGTTTGACGGGTTTTTTTCTGTTTGTTTGCTTCACTTACTCATGCTAGGTATCTCTCTCCTCGATATGTTCACTGAACAGTATCTAATGCCATGTGGCTTTATTCTTCTGAGAGCTTGCATTCCCTAGCTGATAAAGTTTTCTAAAATGTGATTGCATTCAATCAGGAATGTCTAATTATGTAAAAGTGGGCTGATACATCTTGATATGTTTAAGAAGTGTTTCAAAGACTGTACTGGTACAACAAAATTAAAATCAAAAGGAGAAGGTGAATGATTAACCTTAGCTGGATTTCTGTGCTGTTTGTTTGTTTTTTTTCTTTTCAGGTGGAGGTAGCAACAGATGTTGGCCTTCAGTATAAAGGAGAACTGACAGTTGTTTTACGTTACATTCCGCCAGACAGAAACCTAATGCTTCCTCTAGGGCAGTTTCAAGGTAAAGCAAACATTAATGGCAGCATATGATAACATCCCTCTGAGCATTAAAAATCCTCACCTAGGATGAAGTAAAGGTATTAGTGAAGATTGAAACCATACTTAAATATACCAGTTGTCTTTATCTGTGGAAATTTTGAACTGTAAGTATGTTTCTCCTGCTCCATCCTCTGCTCTTACATTGAACTACAGGAGAGAGAAGGGAAGAGGAGTGTGCAGTCAAGTGTTGATGCATGGCTGCGACCTAATTAAAAAAAAATTCAGACATTAGATAACATGATCGAGGACAGCCATATAGAAATAAATTGTCTACATCATAGTCTGTGGGTTCTTTGTTCAGCTGATTATATCCAGTGTATAGCTGGATATAATAGACTTCACTTAGTTCTTCATGCTTAATTATCCTTAAGCTTACCTATCTCCTCTTTTTCACAGTGCTTTGCCTCTGCTCAGTTTTACTGTATTATTGCTGTAATTCAATCCTGTAAAATATTATTTGAAATCTTTAGGGTAAGCCATTATTTTCATCAACAATGAACAGAGGAAAATAGTTACTAACTCTTTGCATTGTAGTAGCACGAGGAACAGCAATCATCTGAAGTGAAAGCAATTACTGGGTAGCACCTGAGTGTACGTCTTGGTGACAGTATTGCTTGTTAGCATTAGGATTTGATAGATGTATTAGAGTTCTTTTCTTTTTCTTTCTTTTTTTTTTTTTTGACAAATTACATTCCCTCTGTTAGCAGTAATTCCAAGGTTTTTTCTCTTAAAAGCTAATTGTTGTCTGAAAAGTCCAGATATACACTGTCTGCATTTTTTTAAATTAGTACATTTTAACATCCCTCCCGATCTTTTTTTCCTGATGCTTTCAGCCTGAATCGGCGTGTACGATCCCTGCTGATAAGCCTCTTAGAATCTGCAGCAGCAGCAAGTACATGTGTCCTCATGGTGCTCTTCAAAAGCAGTAGCGTGTCAGTGAGCACCATGTCCTTTGTCACGGTCTCCGCGGAGCACTACATCCTTACATGTGGAATACATGCGGTGTATTTCTGCATTTTAAGCTTTGCATTTATACCTTGCTTGGGGTGTAGGGCTGCCTTAACACCAGTGGTAGAAGTGGATTCTGCAAAGAGGGTAGGACTTACAGGACATGCAGTTCTTTCTGGTCAGCATAGTAATCCACAAATACTCATATTTGGACAGGACTTCAGACAGGGCTCTCCGTTGTGTCTAGCAAGGACTAGTTAGTTACATGGTCAAGTTCTTTATCAAATATGGAGTGATTTTTCTGTCCCTGCCTTATTAGTTTCTCTACTCACAGAGAATCAGAATCTCCTCATAAGGAATACTTTAATCCCATTGCAGTAAACAATTAAAAAAAAAATCTAGCCAAAACAATTTACATTTCCAAATCAGTCTTGCAGTGTATATATAATTTCTGATGATGATGTTGCAACTCTGTTCGATGTGCAGGAAAGAAGAGCTTCAAAAAGGGAAAAAAGGGAGACTCTCACATGCCATCTGGAGGTATATTAGAAGTCCTCATCAAAGAAGCGAAGAATTTAACAGCAGTGAAATCAGGAGGCACGTCTGACACTTTCGTGAAAGGGTCTGTGGGTTTTTTTTCTCCCCATTTTTTTAATGGCTGCACTGAATCATATCTTGGCTGACCCAAATTTTTTCAATATATCTGTATATATGTGCATGGAGTGTCAGTCCTGAAAAGCAACTGGCACCTCGAAATGGTATGCTGAAGAGAAGGATGCTGTGGAATAAGGGCAGAGAGGTATGAGTTGTCCCAGTGGTTAAATACAATCACATTTAAATGCCATCTCAGTTAAGTGGTACAGAACCATTCATACAGAAGTATCCAGTGTGCTAATGCGCACACTGTTACAGAATATAACGTTTGGTAAAGGAAAACATTTCCACTGAGTCGGCAGAGAGAAGTAGGTGGCTATTCATCACTCCTGGAGGCAAGAAGTTGTAAATTAGGGCTTTTGCACTGGAGATGATACCTGATCTGATGGTGACATTTACATTTTCAGGAAATTGAAACAGTACATTTTTTTTTACTAAAAGGAATAGCCAGACTACTCCTGAATAAGAAACTGGTTTTCAGGAAGATAGAAATCTGTTTGGATTCCTTGTAAAACTGCAAGTAACACCTATAAAAGCTGGCATGCTCTACCAAACTGAGGTTCGTTCTAATGGGTGTCACCTGAAATGTGCAGAAAGAAAATTCATTATCTGTGTGAGGAAATTCTGTTTTGATTCAAGTAAATACACTAATGAGAAAAGATTTTTCTCTCTTATACTACAGATAGTTGAGGGTTTTTTTCCTAGTGCTTAATTGGGAAAGCTCTTTGGCAGTACAGTGTCAAGGAGCACATTTAAACCCTGAGGCTGCCCAGGAAGTCTATCACTGACTTCAAATGTAGTATCTTAACTCTAATTGTGTCTTGTTGTTAACATTTAATATTCTTTGACAGAAGAGGTTTAAAAATTCTGTTCTGATGGCTTTCAGGTTGGATTTTAAAGATGCATAATTTTGAAAAATTTACGGTCCGTGTCACTTGTAGGCCTGCGTGCATGTGCATACATAAAGATATATATAGTATGACATACATGCATCTTTTTATTAGATAAGCAGCATTTTGTGTTGGACAAGCAAAATCCAAACTATATAGAAAATGCTACATATAGGATATACTTGTGTTTGAATAAAATGAACATAATCCTGCGTGCCTCATTATATTGGATTTTTCATATATGTAAGTTATACATTTGAAATGTTACATTTAGGAAATAATGGATAGTTTAAAACGTTTTTCATTGCCAGTTTTTGCTCTCAATGTTAGCTTTTAGAATTGCTGATTTTTAGATATGCTGTAGTTCATTAGTAACAGTTTGAGTGCTGTTACTAAACGGTGACCATCCTGCCTTTAATTCCCTGGTGGAGCTGAGAATTTGTCTTGATCTGGTAGTGTGCTTCAAACTATCACTAAGCTCATAGACTTCATGTAGAAGTTTGAGCTATTCTTTCTATGTATGTGTTCTCCCATGCCATCTCTCTTTGCCTGATATATGTGAAGGCATTTTCTTTCACTGAAAATAGACTGTCTGATTCCACTACAGCTTGTTCCCACCTGGAGCTTGCAACAGACTTCAGGGAGAAAATGTTGGCAGAGCCTTTTTACGTAAGCGGTAGCAATGTGTGGCCAGTAATTCTCTGGAGTATCTCTAGTTAGTGGTGTTTGCTGTTGCTGACGTGGATTATTCAGTACAGTGGAATAGGAGTCTCTTTTCCTCGGACTATTGGTCTGTCATGTGTCATGGCCAAAAGCATAATAAAATTGCCATGAACAAGTTGAGGTGCTGCAGCAGTCTGATCTGCACTGTTAGCTTGAGACTAGCTTGAGATAATTTGACATAGCTTAGGCCACTGTTAGCCCCCTGCAATAAACCAGCTCATGTTTATTGTCAAGTAAAAACCTGCACAGGAATCCTGATCAAGGTCTAGTGATTTGTTTGTACGTGCAACCCTTTAGTATTTAAATGCAACCACACAGTTATTCCGTTAGCTTTGCTGAAGGAGGCAAAGATACAGACTATGGAAATTTGTACAGACCTCTGATTTTCAACTAGAGTATTAAGTTCTTCTAGTTTCTCTAAAGGAATTCTCCACTAAAAGTAAAATGTGAAAAGCTTGTCAGACTTTACAGCATTAGTTTCTCTGCACTCCGTAGGGTGTTAGGCAATTCAAAGTACTGGTGCTAAACTGCTGAAGTTCCTTCTTTATCAGTCATTTCTGTTTCTTTCTGGGAGGACCTTCTGTCCTGCTTTGAGAGTGAGACTGGACTGGGTGACTCCAGAGGCCCCTTCTAGCCAGGATTTTTATGATCCTGTCTATATTTAGTCTCACTGAAATAAAAAGTTTGTGGTTAAGATGAAAGACATGGGGCAAGGAGACCTAATTTCAGTTTTTGCTGTTGATAACTGGCACTGTAGCTATAAGAACAAATGGAGCACAAATGCTAAACATACGCTTCAGGTGTATGCTTAATTTAATAACAGTGGGGAATAGGGTCCTGATCTCATTTGAATCTCTACATGATTGTAATTCTTTGTGACTATTACATGACATCCTATCTACATATTCAATTTTCCTTTTTTATATCTCCCAGATACCTTCTCCCAGATGACAGCAAAGCTACGAAACACAAAACTCCCATAATAAAAAAGAGCGTGAACCCCCAGTGGAATCATACCTTTTCTTTCAGTGGCTTGAGTTCAAGGGATATACGTAATGTCTGCCTAGAACTGACTGTGTGGGACAAGGAGTCGCTCTCCAGTAATATTTTTCTGGGAGGTGTCCGTTTGAGCACTGGAAATGGTAAGTTCCCACCTGACTGGTGATTGCATTTCTTAACGCTGCTGTCCTTCTTCCCCACCCCAAGTGATTCATGTATACGAGGGACAGAAACATTACTGAATGTATGGAAAGTATACGGGAACTTGGGGAAATTGAAAAGGGAGAGAAGGCAACAGGTAATGTGTAGATGATTTAGTTCTTTCCTTCATGAGTGAGACACAAAAATTTGGTGCCCTGTTGTACTTCTGCGCATTCTAGAATATTCTGGGAATACCTTGGAAGCATTTCTTAGCATCCCAGTGAGAAGGAGGAGACTACTTTTGTCCAGCAGCAGCCTTTCTGCTGACGATGGTGTGATCTGGAAGAAGTGTGGGTCTCTTCCTCCTCTGTTAGAAGAAAGTTGTTTGTGGTGCAGAGTGGGGAGGTTTATGTGCCTCTGCCCAGGTGCCACGAAGGAGTGTAATGACAAACTGGTGCTCTCCAGGAGCTACCTGTTTTCAGTATAACTCCCTGTACAGGTGGCGGTCTAAATTGCTTGTCATCTTTCTTATACCCTGTTGGACCGAATAAGCAAGGATATTAAATAACTGGTTACTAATATGCCAAAATGCTTCATGTTTTTGCAATTGCCAGGTGTAAGTAATGGCAAGGAGGTTGACTGGATGGACTCTCAAGGGGAAGAGCAGCACCTCTGGCAGAAGATGATTGACAGTCCGGGAGCCCCTGTGGAGGGGATATTAATGCTGAGGTCCAGCATGGGAAAACGCAGACTCTGAAAGACTTTAAGTACTTAAGGGGTACCACAGGTACGCTTGACTTCAGTGGTGTTCAGGCTCTTGTCACTTTGCCCGTTTGAAAGTGGGGAAGGATTGTACTTTTTGCCTTGGATGTTAAGGCTCCGAGTGAGATTTTAATGCATTCTGCACTTTCAGGCCCACGTTTTTAACCCAGGTTTCTTGTATGGATTGTGTTTCTCTTGAAGCCAGTGAGGACGGGACCTTGTACAGAGATTGGACTGGCTTTCCCTGTCCCTTCTGGTGACTGGGATGCAGCTGATGAACTCCTCTGCCTCTGGCGGGGCACAGAGTGAGCATCTAGTTAGTCTTTTAGTAAGTAATGCCTGGTTTACGTGTCTCCCTCTGGGTCAAAGATGGCCTAGAAGACAGCAGTGATACAGTACAAGCAGATTCAGAGTCAGTCTGTGCTTTGGTATTTGGAAGGTAAGAAGCCGTAATGTTATGAAGGATAACAAACAACATTTCTTTGTCATGTTTGCTGGTTGGGCTGAGCAGCGTGCAGGGTGGCAGGCTTGGGACCAAGCAGCCCACCAAGGAAGGCCAATGCACTGTGTTGCACACTAGAAATAAGGAGCAGGTGAGCTGGTGTACAGTGCTGGTGTTCTGGCATTCTCTGGGTTATTTTAATGCACTGTATGAAAGGCAGACTTGGTTCAAAGTAATCAAAGAGCCTCTAATGAAAATAAATTGTAACAAATCCCCAAACAGTTTCCAGAACTACATGGTATTACTGTGTTTTTCATTCAGTTGACAGCTCTAGCCAAGACCTTCTGGTGCCCTTGAACAGAAGGAACATGTTCACATGCCTGTCACCATCTGATGGGTCGCTGAGATGAGACCCATACTGGGTTTGGACGTAGTTAGCTAAGACCTTGATGCAACAGATTTTGGAGTAGAGTGACGTGATTAAAGCACATGCCAGAATGATTTGCACAACTGTGGAATTTTCTCTGAATGGGCTGGGATCCCATTCAGGCGTGCCCACGCATGTTAATTATTAACCAGAGTAGGACTTTTTTTCTCCTGAACATCCCCCTGTGAGTTAACAGTGGATTTAATGATAAGAGTGAGTTTGGGCCAATTCAATCATTAATCTTATTAACCGTGACAATTGTTCAATGGTAATTTTGCCATTTGGTTTCCTAAAGTGATTTTACACCTACTTAGATCCCCCATCCTCTGGGGACTTACGCAGGTCATATGTGAAGAGCATGCTGTTTTGAATAGTTGTTGTGGGCTACTCCTACCATAATGAGATAGGATTATAATCTTTTTTCAAGGCCAGCACGTGTCTGCTTGCCAGATTGAATAATAATATAATTGCATGGCATGTGATTGCTCAGGGTATAAGACAAAGGAAGATCAGTAAACTGAGTGAACAACGTTTCTTCTGAATTTTCCTAAACCAAACCAACCTTTTTTTTTTCCTAAACTAAACCTAACTTTTGGCACCTAAACTACCTCTCTAACAGAATTGGTCCGAGTTGGCTTGGTTGTTTGTACTGCAAACTTGCATTTATTTTGGGAATAATTATATCATCTTGACATGGAGGCACAAGCTTGATTTTTCACTTGCTGGAAGTTGATTCAAAAAGATAAAGCTTGTTAAATCTAAAGAAAACGATTCTTTAGGGTAAAATTCCAGCTAGAGTTGTAGAGGAACACTGGGCAGTTGGATGGTTTGGGTTTGTTTCATTTTGATGGTGAAAATGGGAAAAACAAAAAGAACACAAAAATTCCTCCAAGTTGGACCCCAAAGCAGACACCTTTTTCTCTTGCCAAATTGAAAACCTTAAAAAATTTTGAACTGTACTAAATCTTTTATTTATACATGGAGTACAAGAGTTTGTCTAATTTTTGAATGGTATTTTCTAACCTTCTAAGTATGAACATTTTAGTTAAATCAAGTCTTGCTTTGAAGGGAAAAAGTCTGTGCTTTACTACTTCGGCTTCTGCCCATTTTGGTCCTATGATAGAGTTTGTGATGAATGGACTCGTCTGGGAAGTGTAACCCGGCTCATACATGGGCTTTAAGTTCTGCCTTTTCCTTCCAAAGGGCCAAAATTTCCCTCTGAGCCTGCACCTGAAATTATAGACCGGGCTATGAATAGACTGTAGGTGTCAACTTCAGTTCAGCATATGAAAGGAAAAAATTTCAACTGGGAAGTAATTTCAGCCAACGTGGTGGTTTTTGCCATTGATGGGATTTGGAGTAGTGCAGTGAAATTACCTCCTAGGTTAGCAGTGACAATTCTGCATTATGGTAGCATATAATAGGTATCACACTGTGCCTCAAATGAGCCTCAAAGAGATGATGAGCATCGTATAAACACTAGAGCAATTTGGAAAGCTTTGCTGTTCTATGGTGTTAACTGCACATTTGTAGGAAGCGTTTGATTTGTGGAAAATGTCACATTTAATTACATCTCTTATATCTTTGGTCTCTTCCTTTACAAAAATGATTTATGGTTTGGAAAAGCACGAGATGATTAACTGCAGATGTGATTTCTTGTTTCCCAGATATTTGAATTAATTGCCTGTAATTGTGCGTCATCACATACTGTGTGTTACCAGGCTGAACAAAAAGACGGAAAGCCAGGAATTAGGCAAAAGCCTTCCTTCTGTATGTATGTTTATGGTATTGAAGGTGCATGAATGGTTTATTCAAGGCTAATTTTTAGGAGAAAATAACCACAATTTTAGCAATGATTCATAAAATCCTTCCCTGAGTAAATAGACACAGCAGAGCTGATGTTTCTGAAGTATTTTTCCACACAGACTTAAATAACTGAAGATGTGTCAGTGGAGAAGAAACCTCCTCTACAGTGTTTTTTGAAAATGTGGTGCACAATACCTTTTACTCTGATACATATTTTTCTAGCAAGGTAACTACAGGGCTTTCATCACTATCTTTTCCCCCTTGTGATTAGATTTTGAGGGTTTGGCCCATTAAAGAACAACAAAAGTGCAACTTTCACTGTAAAACGTCAAGTGGGGCCAGTAAATACCTCTTTAGACAGTGTGGTTATTGCCAGTATCCATCAAAAAGAGCTGATGCTGAGAGCTCTCCAAACCCTGACATCAGACTTTGGTATCCAGACCTGTTCTCTGGAAGTTTCTCTGCCCAGTTTATCAGCTACATTGGAACTTCAGGCTTCTAAATGTTGATGCTCTCGCATGCTTAGATGCCAAAAACAGGCTAACGCAGGTTTGAAATGGTGACCTCATCTCTTCCACCTCCATCGTGTTACGTTTGAGTGAGGGTGGGAGGAAAGCTGCAAAGGCTCTGAGGGACACTGTTTCCATCTTCGTGTGCTAATCCAAGTGCCATTGCCTTCCTTGAATGCCTTTTAGATACTACATTTCGATCTTTCTTTCCCAGCTGGATGCTTTAGCAGATGGCTTAAGAGAGAAGGCATTGGGATGGTGAGTATGCTTTGATCATGGTGCATTAGGCTGGAAGCTTATTCTTCTGTGCCTCTTCCAATGCAGATTATGCTAAGGTAGCATGAAAGAAGCATTTTTATGTATTAATTTTTTATTTTTGTTTTCCTGCCTGGTTAGGCCCTGCCAAGTGCAATTATTCTAAGTTGTATTCTGCAAAACATCAACTAAATTGTAACAGCAGAGCAGCTATTGAGCATCCACTAGTGCTAATTGATAAGGAGAGGTACCAGGAGGGGTGCATTTAGACTGGCATAATTTTGGCTTCTTGAGGGGTACACACATTGCCTAGCTTCAGGCATGGAAGGTTTGTGGTTTGCTCTGGAGAGTCAATGAAGAGAGAGGCTGCTTGGATCTCCTACACCTTCAAAAAAGAGCTCAGAGTCCTATTTCCACAGCTGTCTAGTTTGTGGATTCACACAGTATAGGAAGGGTTGTACCTGAATCTTTGCAAGGGTCTCTCTTCTCTTCATCCCTCCCTTGCAACCCTCACCAGAACGTTCTACCTGAACGATAATCTCCAGTATCTGGAAGGAGGCAGCATGCAGCAGTTAAGTGATAGCCCCACTTACGTTCATCCATACGAGGTAAAAACTGAAATATTACTTCCCTAACATACAGTATTGTTCTTCAGTACTTTGCAACAATGACAGAGATAGCCATCTCCTGAGAGCTGGTCCACGCGCTTTGTAAACTCTTTTTTTTTTTAATATATATATTTTTTTTAAATTATTATTTATTTATTTTTACACACAATGTTAACATTTGAGAACCCTAGAGAAATAGTGGCAGAACACGTGATGAATTCCAAAATAGGATGCTGACTTATTCGCAGTGATGTCTTTTACCATAACTCAGCAGGAGATGCTGAGAAGCACGCTAGTAGAACCTTACCACTGTGTCCCGTGAATTTCCAGCCTGGTGACTGCAAATGTTGTTTGATAAGTGGTAGTAAGACAGTGTTAATTATACTGTGTATATTGACACCAGAAAGTGAATCTCAACTTGCTTTTTAGGTGTTTTCTAGGTTGTTTTGAAACTCACCCTTGCTGCATCTTGGGCCTTTATTTAGATCAGTGATTTCAACAATTCTGCTTTGTGGCAATAACATCTATATGGCTGTGTGCTACTGCTCCTGAGAGCTTGGTGTATATTTTTGAGGATAGTTCTAATTTTTGAGGTTTGCCTAAAGCCAAGCGTAGTCATTTGTTGCAGCAATTGGAGAATGTCACGTATCCCTCGTTCTGCCTTTGTTCTGCTTAAAATCTGTTGCTAGCTATTTGTTTAATTATTCTGCTGGACTTGAACAGTAGTAGCAGTAAATGGCATTGCGGTATATTAAGTTCTGCCCAAATTTAGACAAAACAAAATGTTTCCTGCCCAGAACGTTTTTGTACTATGCACTGTACGTTCAGTTTTGTGGACAAAGGTGGCTGGTAATACATTTGCAGCTGTTGTCAAGATTACTGTTCTATCTTTTAAAATTAAAATAGTGAAACATGTTGCTGTGTCCTTGTGTCTCCTAAAATGCATTA